AAATAGCCACAACAATCCTCAAGGCAGACAGCCTGGGGGAGGTGACATCACCTTAGCATTCCTGAAACTAAGGCTCAAGCCCCGCAGGCAGAAGCAGCAGCGGAAGCCACACAGGTAGGCAGGGAGGGAGGGGCCGGCCAAGAAGGGGCCTGTCAGTTGCCTAAAGAGCAAGCAAGCAGGCTTCTCTCCACTCCTGCAGGAAGAGTGGACATTTCCTCTCGTCCCCAGGGGGAATTCCAGCCCCAGCCCCTCTGTACAGGGGCACGGGGCCACACCCCCAGCCCTATTTTGCACCGAGTTGATCAGGGCCTCGCTGTTGCTGAGGCTGGCTTGGAACTCGCGATCCTCCTGCCTCGGCCTCCTGAGCACCCTCTCTGGAGGCCCCTTCCCATGCTGTGTGCCCTCCTCCCTGGCTTCTGATGAACCAGCTCCTGAGTCCTCACCCTCTGCCGCCTGCGGACCCCATTCTCCTGGTGCCTGGGTTCCCGGGACCCCGAGTTACCACACTACAGGAATCTCCCCTGCTCTCCAGGGCGGGACCCTTGGTGTGCTGTTCGGGGTGGCATCATCCCCATGGCCTGGGACACTGCAGGAGCCGCAGACCCTGGCTGAGTGGACGGTGTCCTGTGAGCGGCAGAATCTGGGCCCCACAGCCCCCCCGCAGTCTGGCCTCCTTCATCTTCCTGGTTTGCGGCCTCTGGACCCTGGTGTGCCTGAGTTTCCAGCCTGGGCTGAGTAAACAAACAGAATAAATAAACACCCGCAGTCCCCTGGGGACCAGCCCAGGCCCGTGTCCTGTCAAGGCTGGGCTGGGTCATGGAGGCCTAACTTCCTCCTATTATTGTCTCCAACATTCCTTCCCAGGACCTGGGCTCCCGAGCCCCTCTGCAAATAACCATCAAAGAGCCGCAGTGTCGCCATAGCTCAGCCTGTGTCACAGGGCTGGGCCTGCGGGTCACCGAGGCAGCGTGAAGACACCCCCCCACCCCAAACCCTGACTCTTGGGATCAGGTCAGAAGGATTTCAGGCCCATGGCTCCGAGGAAGAGGCACGAGTTTATTGAAGGGATAGAAAAGGGGAAAGGGGACACTGTCAAGGGAAAGGGTGGGTCCCCTCAGAGGGGAGAGGGACGGCGTGCCCCTCCTGCACTCCAGTTTTATTGGGGGAATCCCAGAGAAGTTTCTAGAAAGCCCTGCCCAGGTCCATCTCTTGACTTTTGACGGACAGCAGGATGACATCCATCAGGTCCCCTCTGCTGTGACACTTCTGGGTCCCTTCGGCCTGTCATGACCGGGTCAAATTAGGACCTGTCCCTACAGATCTTAAGGTGGGTGGGGATGATCTTTACCCCCCAGTTCTGGGGTCTGGTCTGGGTGAGGGTCACAGAGTCCCCTCCTTCAAGGTAGCCTGGGTTCTTCTTATTGGCCTTTGGGCTACATGGTCCCCTGCCGATGGCAGGTTGGTGGCTGAGGGATGGACCATGTCCTGTGGGCTTAAGCCAGGCAGGGCTACAGGTAAGTCGCTTTGTAGAAAAGAAAGCAAGTCGGGCTCAGTACAGTGGGCCCAGTTTATAGAATTATGTCCTTAACTTCACGTTCCTGCCGCTCGAGCCCCTCAGTTCCCTACAGGTATCAAAGTCACTTAATCCTCACCCAGATGGCTCCAAGGTAGATGTGATTATCCCCATTTAGAGATGACAAGAACAAGGATCAGAGAGGTTAAACAACTTACCCTGCGTCACACAGCTACCAGTTCTTAACCATTCTAGGTTCCTTGAATAGCATCGTGACCCTCCGGTGTTTGGGACCTAACCAGCCCACCTCCTCCCCCACCCTCTCACTGGGCCTCCTTTTCTAGAACCTTCTGCCAGACTTTCTCAGTAGAATTAACGACACCAGGAGCACATTGACCTCCGGGGCTGCGTGGGATGAGCCGTGTCCCTGTCCTAGCTGGGGTGGGCACTCGGCAGGCTCTGGGGAGCTCCTCTCTCCTGTGGGCACCCGAGGACCAGGGGCCGGGGCGCAGCTGTGGGGGAGAGGATCACCCTACCCTCCCGTCACCAAGGATGGCTGCCACCGCCCAGGGCTTTCGCGGGCTCTGCTCCTTGTTCCTGAGCAGCTCTCCTGAGACCCCTTTCATCTCCGCTTCCAGGAACCAGAGTTGGGAAAGTGATAGTGTGGGCATTTAGTGCTTAGGAAAGACGGTGTACCGTGGAGGCTAGGAACCGGAACATATCTGGGTTTGAGTCCTGTTTACTGTGCTGCTCTGGGAGAGTGACCTCACCTCTCTGAACTTCTGTCATGTGCTTTGCAAAGCAGATATGGTTATCATACCCCTAATCGTTTGGATAGAAGTCCCCCCAAAGGCCTCTATGTTAAGGGTTGGTCCCTGTCTGTGGCACTGTTGGGAGATGGTGGAGACTTGGGGAGGCAGGGCCTACTGGAAGGAATGTAGGTCACTGGCTCCTTCTTGACCCTCTCTTGGCTGCCATGATATGACAACTTCCTCAGCTAGGTGCTCTCCACCGTGATGTCTCACCCATCTTAGGCCCAAAGGCGACCGGGCTGTGGGGCAAGGAGAGGGCAAACAACTACAGACTGAAACTTCTGAGGCCATGAGCCACATCAACCTTTCTTCCTTATAAGTTGTTTCCATCAGGCATTTTGTCATAGCAATGGAAACCTCCTAACACGGAACCTATGCCCCCGAGTAACTGCTAGCACAGATAGTGAGGGGGACGTGGCCAGACCATGGAGGGCCTGGTGGACAGTCAGGAGGGAGATTTGCGCTGGGCACACTGGAGGCCCACTGTGCTCTTTGGGGAAGGATGGGTGCACCATGAAGACAGAGTGCAAGGGAGCTGGCTGGTGCTCATGGCTCCGGGGAAGCCAGCCGGGAGGTGTTTCCCCAGGTCCAGGTGAAAGGGCCACCTATGGGACTGTGGACCTGGGGACCTACAGAAGCAGAGTGTGCGGACGGGGCAGTTGGACGGGGGAAGAGCAGGGGCCGGTGTGTTCCTGCCTTCAGCCTCTGCACGTCCTCTGGGGTCTCGCCCAAGAGGCCAGAGATGAAGAGCAGGAAGCCACAGGCCTTGCTTCCCCGAGTCTGTGACAGTCAAGGTCACAGCAGAGTGATCCCAGGTCCCAAGGGTTTCCTGAAGGACGCGGGTTCCCTGCCTGTCCCCGGCTTCTCGCCTTCTGCTGGCTGAAGTTCCTTGTCGCTCCGGCCCCTGGCTGAGGGTCCTTCTCACCTCTCATTTTCTGTGTCTTCCCCTCCGTTGGCCGGGACACTGCCTGAGGGTGGAGGGTGGAGCCTTGGAGGATGGTTGGAGGCTGTGCCACCTGGACCTAGTACAGTGCCTGACATATAGTTTGTGGATTTTTATGGATTTTTTTTTTTTTAAATCAGTGTTGTTCGCCAAACATTTCCGCTTTCTCCTTCCTCCACTCTGGACATAAGTAGGGGTAGCACTACACTTCCTGAGGCCACCGTGGCTGGGAGAAGCCTTGTAGTGAGGAACCAATAAGTTGTCACTCCCAGTTCAAAGCATTAATAGGTCTAGGGAAACCCCTGGATTCACCCAGCCTGAACCCTGTGGGGGATTTGTCTTTCCCTCTGCACCAGGATGACTAGCATCTTAGTTACCCACATGCTGATTACCCTGCTGCTCACAATGGATGCCAATGAGAGAGAAACCTTTGTTGTTTTAGAACATTGTGATTTTGGACTTCTTTGTTACTGAAGCACAACCTAACTGATTCTTCCTAATTGTGTCTCTTTGGCATCGCTTTGTGGAAAAGATTTTCAGTGCTACTGTCACTCTGAGGGTAAAGCATTCCTCTCCTTGGCTGCCAAAAGCCTGACTGGGAGAGTAGTCTGTGCTCTTCTCAGCTGGGGACATTCATAACACCTGCCACCATGAGCCCCTTATGCAGAGGGAGGTTGAGAGTTCTTTGGGAGGGGGGAGCTGGGAGGTCTACGACCTTGAAGGCCTCTCTCTTGGATTCTTCTACAGTCGAAGCAGGAACTGGTTTGGCAAGAGGAGGAGCTGGGGAGGATGCACAGAGATGGAGAAGGAGTTATAAGATAGCTCCTTTTAAGGACTGTCTTCATGTCACCTTGAATATGAGTTAGAATTAGCCTCAGCTGTGAACAATGAGGTTAAGTAGCCACAAGGAAAGTCATTTATTTATGTTTATTTATCCCTAATGTTGAAGTCCAGAGATATTGTATCCACTGTAGGTCTGATGCCTCTGCCCCACAAAGCCCTGTAGAACCAGCCTAACGCTCTACCTATATTATATGAGCTCCATTTGCAGTGCCACCTAGTGAACTAGGGAGTCACTTGAGTTCCAGCCATCTCATCTGCATTCCAGCCAGCAAGAGAGTAGCAAGGAATGAAGACCACAAGACCACTCTCTTTTATAGAACTCTGTGGGAGTTAGCAGGTCCAAATTCTCATTGGCTAAAATGAGTCACATGGCCAGAGCTGGCTGCAGAGAATGCTGGGAAATGTAGTCTTTATTCTGGGTGGCTAGGAACCTAGTTGAAAAATGGGGAATTTATTAGCACGGCTGAGAGGGCAATGGATACCGGGAGGGAACTTCAAAAAACTCTGCAATATCCTAAAACAGCAAGGACAGATCGACTTAAATTTCCTAAAGGTTTAAGTTAAATTCCTTTGGAAAACTGATGAGGAATCTGTACTCCTCTGTCCCAAATGCTGATATTATCCCCTGCAAAACTGTGGGATTTCAAACAATTCACTGACCCTATGAAGCTCGAGCCGGGGAGGTGTGTGTGCATGTGTGTGTGTGTGCATGCATGTGCGTGTGTGTGTGTGTGTGTGTGTGTGTGTGTGTGTACACACCTATTTCAAACCTCATTTCCATTTGGCACTGCGCCTCTATCTGATGTGCTTGGGGTTGTTTATTTGGGGTTTAGATCTGAGAGTCACTTGTCAAAGGGACCTGGCGTGACACCCTGAGAAAGCACCTGACCCGTTTCCATGGCGAAGGAAAAACTGCCCTGCGTCAGCTGGCTGTAGGTTGGCTGCAGCGACAGGCAGGTCAGGGCCCACGTTCCGGGTGGGGAGTGGACCCGTGGGTGGATCCCACCTGGGTGGACAGGGATGACCAGCACCCCTGGTCTCTCCACGGACGATCTGAGGGTGGAAGACGTTGACGAGATGTCAGGGGGAGACGGCCAAGTTTCCTGGTGGCTCTGGATTCCTCTGAGCGGGTGAAACCCTGGAGGGGGAGGCAGGAGTGGCCCTCACTTGAGAGTGGGGTGTTCCAGGTGGTGAATGACGGCAGGACTGACTGTTGGACCTTTTGCCAAGGTGACCTGGAATCCTCCCAGAAACTCACCATGAGCTTGCCCAGCCAACAGAGCCACCTGCCTCCCTTCACTCATCTTACAAGATGGATGCTTTTATTGCCTCTGTTGGAAAGTAAGGAACTTGAAGCTCAGAGAGGCTAAGTCACTGACACATAGACACACAGCCAGGCAGTAGCAGAGTCAGGCTCATCTCCAGGTATTTCTGATCCCCCAAATCCTTGGGTTCAATTGCTTTTTTAAAAAAAATTATGGCACTTTCTAATTCCAGAGTCGGTTCTCCCACTCCTCAAATAAATAAATAAATAAATAAGCAAATAAATAAATAAATAAATAAGGAACACCCAGGTTGGGCGGGTAGGGTGCCTGCGGGGGTGGGGGGTGGGGTGGGGGGAGGGGCCCTCTGAGAAGTGCTCCCTCCCTCCTCTTTCCTAAGTCCCTTCCCTTCCTCTGCCAGCTCCTCCCCAGGGCCCAGGGTCAGCCTAGAGGTCAGGTTTTTCTGTGATACCTTTCTTGACCCTCCTCGGCTGTTTTGGGTGCTCTGTGGACTTACCCGCATCCTAGCATCCAGCGTGCACTCCGGGATGCCTATCTCTGCCTGTCTGCATCCACACAATGGGCATTAAAAGGGCATCTATGGCCAGGTGTGGAGTTAGCACCCCTGTCATCCCAGCAACTGGGGGTGAAGGCTGAGGCAGGAGGATCCAGAGTTCAAAGCTAGCCTCAGCAATTTAGTGAGGCGCTAAGCAACTCAGTGGGACCCTGTCTCTAAATAAAACACAAAATAGGGCTGGGGATGGGGCTCAGTGGTCGAGTGCCCCTGAGTTCAATCCCTGGTAGAAAAAAAAATATATGTGAGGCCCTTGGAAGTGTGCGCTGGCAGGTAGCAGCCTGATTCTAAGCAACTCCATTTTAAAACTCTGCTTTGAAACCTGCAGTCTCACCAGGCAGCCCTAGGAGCCCTCCAATATGGCCATCAGGCATAGCCCTGACATAAATAAGCCACTTCTCCCCACCCCGACAAACTCAGAGTGACGTCTCTGTCATGTTGCCCTCGCTACCATAAGGGGGAGAGGCAAGAAAATCAGGGTGGGGACCCCCAGACCAGATGCTTTAACCTCAGGGTGAATGACGTCACTGAGAAACCGGTGGCAGCTGATAGGGATTTTGAAAGGGTGGTCAGAAGCCCCAGAATCCAGTATAAATGGAGGAGCACATGACCAGACATTCAGCCAGCCCACACTGATGCCCTCAGGCTGGAGCTGGACTGACACCCCCCCACCCTTCTCCTCTGCCTGATCCTCTGCGTTGCTCTCTTTGCTCTTGAACTCTACAGCCACATCTTGACCCTGGTGAGAGCTGCAACTTCTCCCTACAACCCTCTCCTCAGCCGGCCATCAGCGCCACCCCGGGAGAAGCCTGCCTGGGTCCCTGACCTGACCCCCGGGGTCTGAGTGAGTGGGCATCTGCTGGACTCGGAGCCTGAGGCTTGAGACTTTGGATCTTGCCCTTGAGCTCAGCATGCAGAGGGAATGTCTGTCACGGGCCTGTCATGATTAAGTGTGTTTGCAGTGCTTAGACCTAATCTAGAAATGTTTGTTGTGGTTGGATTCTGTCCATGGCAGTGCCCAGCATTAAGGATTGTCACTTTCTTGATTCAGAACCTATAGAGTGAAATTGTATTGAGCGATTTGAGTGAACAAAGCATTGAAAAGGGCAGAAGCCCGTGGACCTTCTTTATTTTCTGCCCCTCGACTGCATAAGTCACACCTTTGCCCATCGTGACACAGCCCCTACGTTGGTGCCGGTCCTCTTGCTGGCTTTATTGATGGCAGCTTAGAGGACCCTGCTGGCATCTTAAGGATCCTCTGATTCAGGGTTCTCCAGGCTGGCTTCGGTTTGGAATGCCCCAGGGAACCTTTAGCAGAACCAGCCGGTGACCTGAACACACAGGCAGGATCGAGATCCTCCCTTTTAACAGGTGGAGTGACTTGGCCCCAGAGAGGGCTGGATCTGCTTAGCGCTGTGCAGCAGGGGAGAATCAGCAGCGGAGGGCCCTGGCCCCTGCCTACCCTGTCACTCCCACCACTGGGCAGGTTTCTGTGGGGTGCCCCTGCGGCTGCTGAAAGTGGGGGTGTCGGATGCAGCCTGGCTCCCCTCCAACCGGCCTCGGGCAGCTACCAGTCTGGCCTGGGAGAGAGACATCTCCAGAAGCAGGTCCCCGCTCTGCAGCCAGGACAGCTGGGACAGGGAGCGGGCAGGGCACCTCTCCAAGGCCATCACTGGAAAAACAAACACTCGGATTCCTGTAACTGAGGGCCAGGGCAGGAGACTGGCCTCTCCGTGAGTCACTCAGAGGCAGCTGACGTCAGCCACAGGGACAGCCTCCCGGCTGCTACGCTTCTCTGGGAAGGAAAAAAGTGATCCGAGCCCTTATGGAGGGTGAGGTCTGAGTTAGGGGTGCGCACACCTCAGGGGCAAAGAGGTGCAGCAGAAATGGGCTTGGTGGCCGCCGACTTGGGTCCGCCATGGGGTCCTGCCTCTGTGAGCCTCAACTTGGTCTTCTGTCCTATGGAGCGACCTCGGCTATGGAAATGAGATGTTGCTGCTGCACATGGCACCTGATAACCCATCCCTAAGAGGTTCTTTTTATTCTTAATTAGTGTTATTGAATGACGAGGCGTCAGGAGAAGACACTGGTTGTGGCTTTTGGAGAGAAGTCAGCGTGGAGGGGGAGGGGGAGAGGGAGGGGGAGGGGGAGGGGGGTGCACAGCCATGCGTTTTCCAAGGGAGTGGTCCCACCCGAGTAGTCCGCAAGGCAGATTTCCATGGGGCAGGATGCCTGGCCCAAAGAGGTTGGTCACCTGTGTTGTCCCATCTTTCTCCCAGCTCAGGTGTGGGCGGGGCTATGTGGTAGATGAGGGGCTGGGGCAACCCCCCAGCAACCCCACCCCCCACCCCTGGGGGGGGGGGATGGAGGTGAGGCCACACCATCGTCCCTGTGTGGGCGTGCACGTATCCTTGGAATTCAGTGTTTCAAAAGACAAGCCCAAGCTCTGGGTATTTCAAAACTGAAAAAGATTTTACCTAAGACCTCAGGTTCTCTTGGCATATTGGGAAATTCGGCTGCATGAGCTGAGATTCCTACCTGCCCTCAACAATATAGCCTCATCTCCACTCCCCTGGCCTGCCTGGCCCCCGGGTGTTTCAGACTCCTGTCCTGGACAGGAAGAAACATTTCGATTCTACACGGAGGACGTGCCCCCTATTGCTCCAGGTGGGTGACTTTGTGCTGTGGACAGGAACCCACTCCTGCCGCTCAGGTTAGGGTTAGGAAATGGTGACTTCATTCACTGACATCCTTAAATGCTTCCCAAGGGCCATTTGTTTTAAAAAAGCTCCGACCTCACTTATTTCCCTTAGTATCGCAAAAGGGTCACTATCGTCCCATTTCACAGATGAGCAGACATGGAGATCCTAACGCCTCCCTCACAGGGTTGTGTGGAAGGCAAAGGTAAGGTGTCCACAATGATTTCTGGGGGTAATGCCTTCGGGTACATGCAAAACCCGAGTGCTTTTAGGTCTGTCTGCAGGTTCACGTGCAATGACAGGCAGTAGGAGCCGTGGAAGAGCCCCTATCTGCCTGTCTGTCTCCCTCCTCTCTGCTTCTGGCCACCCCCGCGGGACAGAGGACACTGGCGGACATGAGAACACCATACCATGGACCTTTAATTAGAACACAGACATGTTCCATACAGACTGAAAACCGGCAACCCGGGGAGGGTGGGCCTAGTTGTAGAGACCAGAAATCAAGCAAGCCGTGGCCACTGTGTCGCCGGGCAGAGGACAGGGTCCCAGGACGCCGGAGGACACAGCAGTGTCTTTCCCTCTGAGGCGGACACTCAGGGCATTGCTGGTCAGGCTGGGCTGGTCTGGGGATGGCTCCTCTGGTTCGGTGTTTTCCAGGTGGGAGTCTCAGCCCCAGAGTAGAGAAATGGGCTTCAGGTGTACCAAGTCCCCTGGGCCAGGGTGGTGGGTTCTGCTAGGTCCTTGGCCAGCGGACACTTGTACGAAAACCAAGGGGTGTGACAGAAGTGAGACAAAAGTCCCCACCCCCGCCCCCAGAAAGAGCTTCCAAGGGGACGAGGGGCACCGCCAGCCCCATCTCGAGCTCCAGGGAGCTTGGGCACAACACTCCCCCTTCCCAGGCCTCAGTTTTCTCATCTGAAAAGTGGTACTCGGCCCTCCGTCACCGGCTTCCTTGAATGATGGTTCAAAACAAGGTCTGACCACCCACGGGGGTAAAATGCAGGGCCGGGCCAAACCACCTTGGTCTCTCCTGGGATGACTGTGGACCATTAGGCTTGGAGAGAAGTTCAAGGTAACAACAGAGGACTGGAACTCAAGTCACGGGAGTTATCAAGGGGACGACACCTCGCGGTCTCCCATAGTTGGCACCGGAACTCAGCTATCATGACCTCCCCCAGCAGATGAAGTCCACACCCCACCTTGCTGTTCCCGTCCTTGGTCGCTGCCCTTCAACCTACGGCAGAAGACCCAGGGACAAAAATTCCAACAGGAAGCTGTCCTCCGTGTCAGAGCCAGAACCCTCTCTCCCCCCACCCTGCCAGGAACGCTCAGGCCAATTCCCATTTTACAGATGACAAGACTGAGGCCCGAGGCCCATTCCCTTCCATGCACACAGACACAAAGGCGAGAGGAGCACAGAGAAATGGGACGCCAGTCTCTTTGGCTCGGCTCCTTCCAAGATGAGGCGGAGTATAGCTTCTCTTGGCTACAGACCCGGGCCGACCGTTTTCATTCTCTCCACTTTTAGTTTTCAAGGAGCTGTGACTGTTTCAGAGAAGTTGGTTCCCGGGGGAAGGCATCTGATTCCTCAATGAATTTCCATCGGAATGAGGTTTTTTTCCTGGAGATAACCGGTGTCTTAGTTCCATTTGGAGCTTAATTGCTATGGCCGGAGCCTCCGTTGCTGCCAATTCCAATTTGTTCGGTGAGTCTCGAACTCGTTACCTGGGTGAGACGGCGCTGCGGCGGCCCGCGGCGTCTCCGGAGCGCAGAGACGGAGGGATTCTTGGGAAGAGGTGGCCTCGCTCCTGTCCCCATCCCGACACCGCTCAATAAATAGCAAATAAATTATTAAATAAGCCATGTTCCAAGGAGGGGGTCCCTATCATGGTATTTACAATGCAAAACAAAGACCACCAAACAAACAGAAAACAGAAACACTCAAAAAACCCAAATGTGTAAAGCAACACAAATCAGCCACAGGGAGAGGGAGGGTGTCCATGACACGGATTCCTTGGTGGAAGAGTGAGGGGGAGGGGTTTTGATCGATCCTTGCTCTGGGTTGTATCAGTGTCTCAGCGGGATTGACTGGGCCACTGGAGAGGGAGGCATGGTTTAGGATTAGTACTTGGATGTGATTTTATTATCAGACCAAATGCCCTATTGAGCTGGAGGGGGAAGAAGAGAGACTCAAGCGCACGGGGGACTCTTTTGGATATTTGTGGCAAGAAGACAACAGAAGAAAAGATG